ACTGGATTGTTGTTCTTGTGTTCTGGATTCCTTGGAAAAACAAATAGCGGAAAGCATAGAAATAATAATTATTGAAATACAGCAATAATAAAAATAGAAATGCCAACAATTGAAGAATTGGCAGATCAGAACATGAAAGGTGACTAGCTAACTTACCTCCAAATCAAAACTAAATACAATAATGATACTAAATTATATGACATCAAAACAGAACCACACGAATTGGATAAAATTATTCAAAGCTATGATAGATGATAGGGGGAATATATAAATTCCTCCTGAAGTATAAAATGGAAGAGGAAAATTGTGAAAGAACAAATGATAAAATGGGCGCAGAACTTTGACTATAATATTGAATTAGACAAATGGAAAAAAATTTGGGGAACAAACTTAAAAATGACACTATCAGTTGCATACAAGGAAAACCAGTACAAAATGTTTTACGGATGGCACCTGGCACCAACAAAGTTAGCTAAAATCGTATGAGGCCAGGGCCGTCTGACAGTTATCAGCTGCCTTCGGAGTCGGAGATCAGTGGGGCAGACAAAAAGCTGGAGCCTGTTCCCAGTCTGTGCATGTGGAGAGTTGCCAGATGGAGGGAACAGCTAAGGAACAAGGGTCGACTTGGGAGTAAGGCTGCAGGTGGACGGTGAATGGCCTCTTCCATAGGAAATAAAAAAGGAGAGAAAGGGGAGGAATGTTTGCATGAGAGTTCATTCCTCCATTCTTGCCAAGTATTGCAGTGTCTGAAAGATATCGGCCTGGCCACTCTCCAAGCCTGATAAAGGTTGGTAATTGTGAACTATCTTCCATGTTTCCCTGAAAATAAGACAGGATCTTATTTTCTTTTGACCCCAAAATAAGCGCTTGGCCTTATTTTTTGGAGGTCTTATTATTTTTGGGGTGCAGGAGGCAGCGAGCATGGTCACATCATGGCTGCTGCTGTGTTGCAATATTTTGGGGGAGGGCTTATTTTCACGCATGTGCTCAAAATCTTGATTGGTCTTATTATCTGGGAGGGCTTATTTTCAGGGAAGCATGGTTGAAAGACTGGGCCGGACTTTGCTGGAGAGGAATTCACTGTAAATTAAATAAAAAAGGTTTATCAGGATGAGGACTTGACTTCAGGCTGCTGGGGAAGCCTAGGTCAGAACAAGAGGTTTCCTGAGGATTGGCTCCGGCATGTGTTCAAAAGCTCATAAGACTAAACTTATGATCCCAGTTACTACCTTATCCCGAAATATGCATATTTGCCTTAATTCATAAGAAACATCATATTTGGTGGTTAAATAGTTAGAATGCAGTATTGCAGACCAACTATGTCTAGAGCCTGGAGTTTGATCCTCAAGGTTGATTCAGCATCCTTCCAAGGTTGGTAAAACAAGGATCCATATTGTTGGGGGACCATATATTGACACTGTAAACCATCCAGAGAGCGTTGTAAAGCACTAAGGGACAGTATATAAATCTTAGTATATGATACCATTAGTATTGCTATTTTAACCACTTTTTAAACCAAGGCACAGAAAAACTGCACAAATTTCTCAGAGAACAACATTCCAGATGATAAACAAGGTAACAAAAAGGTCCTGTCTCTATTAATGCTCAAGAAGCAAAAAAAAAGCTACAGACTTTGCATTTAGCACCCAAAGTTCAATGTCAAGAAGGATATTAGCAAAGTACTCAACCCTAAGTACCACCCCACCATCACATCAACAATAATAAAAACCAGTCTTTGTATGCTACAATTTTCAATCTGTGAGTGACATTTTATAGTCTACAATCTTAGTTCTAGTCTTGGCTGAGGCTCAAAGCCAGCTGGATGACTTAGGTTAATCACGCTCTCTAAAGCAAACCACTTCCACAAAAAGGACAAAAGGGAGAAAGGACTAGTTATGTACCGTAATTGCCAAATGTCAAAACTGATTTGAAGGTACAATTTATCTAAAGAAGGGACGTACTGATGAAAATAATGTTATTTTAATTAAACCCTATATTTTATGCCAATTAATTGTATTTAATTAATTGCTCTTCTTTCCTTAAGGGGTGTATATTTCATTTAAGTCTATTAGACACTTACTTCCAGTAACTCGTCTCCAATCTGCAGCCTGCCATCTCTTCCAGCTGCTCCATTTGGATCAATGCCCACTACAAAGACACTCATCTTGGATCTGTCTTTGTTCCCAGCTAGGCTGAGTCCTAATCCAGTCTTCCCTTTCTCCAGTTCTATCATGTGCAGATCTCCTGACAGATTCCCATACTTGTGACTGATTTTCCCTAAGTATAAAGATTCAAACATGTGACAAAGTCAAAAATCGATTCCAAAACTTTGGAATTCAATAGTCCTAAACTTCAACTCAACATTACAAAAACAATTCAAGAATGAATTCTATTCACTTGCCAAAGTTAGAAAAAGGCATGCCTCCAGCCACCTCATTTTTTTAAAATCAGGAAAGTAAGAATCTCTCCATCATTCCTTTCTTCATTATAAAAACACTTTCTCTATTTATATGCTACTTTTAGGAATATTTTTAAACAACAATCACAATCATTCCTGCGTTACACATGAAGCACAATTATATTAAAACTGCATGGCCCAGATCGAATGCTTACAGCACAAGGAAATAACAAAGCTGTTAGTTTTGACCACAGATTCTATTCAAGCATATCAAAGAAAAACAATTGAAGCCATCACACTTCAGATAAAGAGGTAACTTACTCCAGCTGTATCCAAACTCATCCTCCTTATCCAAATCTTCTAGGTGATTGTTAGAGGACTGCAGCACAATGTCACTGCTCATTGCTGGAAATACTGAAGGAGGAGGCAAGGGCAGATTACAGGATGATTTTTTTTCTGGCTCTGAATCTGACTGACTGGATGCCTGTGGGGAGTAAGGAAAATACAGTGTTTGAGGAGACAGAGAGGAATTATGTCCAATCGAAATGCATGGGATGATGAAAAAGAAAAACCCAGGACTTTGAAGTTAAAATACATAGCAATAGTAGGATAAAAAAGCAAACAAGATGGAAACTGCAAATCAAATTCGGTGAAAATGAACGTCTGTTCAGCCTACATACCACTAAAACTTTGCATTTTAGTTCCCAAACTGGACAAACAGGAACATGTCAAGGACTATGAATGTATCTTCCAAAAAATAATTATGTTCTTGATTGTACATCATTTTATATCAAAAATTGTCTCTGAAATAGAAAATGGGGGTGATATCTCATACTAGCCTAGATCAGTGATGGCTAACCTTTTTGTAATTGTGTGCCCTGCCCCACTGCACATGTGTACATGACCTCCCCTGTGCTCCCCACCCGTGCTACCCCATGTCATTTTGGGCCTAGTAAGCCACCCTGCAGCTTCCTGGGACCAAAAATGGGCTATGGGGGAGTGACATACCACTGCCCGCTCCCTCCGTCCCATGCATGTGCATGTAACCCCCCACACATGCATGCGTGTCTCCTGCATAAACTGTAGAAAAATCAAATCAGCAGGGAGCATTTTTTAATTTGTTTTCACAAATGAAAAACAATATTTCCTGTTCTTGTTGATAGTTTTTAATTTGGTTTCACAGTTTTATGGTTATTTATATTTTATTACATTTTGCTGTGGTTTTTAAGTTTGTGAGCTGCTCAGAGTCACTGAAGTGAGATGAGTGGCTGTATAAATTGACTAAATGATTGCAGGAAAGAAGGGCAAAATGGATGTGACACATTAGCTGATACACAGCTTTCTTCAATTGTGTACACTATTAGAAGTGCTGCTCATGAAAAATTTAAATAAATAACACACTAAAAAGATGCCTTTTGCAGAACTTATTTTGGAAATGGATTTCCATGCCCTTAGGAAAATATGTGGAAAGGTCTTAAGAAGTGAATGGAAATAAAATGTCTGAAATTGGAAAACTGCTGAGAAATGTGTGTGTATGTGTTTGTGTGTGTTTGTGTGTGTGTGTTTTCTCGTAGGCCATTACAACACAAAACAACAATGGACACACAGCCAGCACCAATCTACCAATCATGATACAGCCACATATCCAATCAATCCACTTACTGAAACAATGCCAGCAGTCCACACACCCCCACCAAGATTTGCATTTGTGCTGATAAATAAATAAAGGGAGACTAGTATAGATCTATTTCAAGCTATTTAGCTCTCATCAACTAGCCATACCCTTACTGGGAATTGAACCTGGGCTGTATTACATATTAGGCAGTTGTATCTGCCACTAAGCCACAGGCTCTCCTCATTTATCATATATATACAGTGGGGCAAAAAATATTTAGTCAGCCACCAATTGTACAAGTTCTCCCACTTAAAAAGA